TATATATATTTTGTCTTAGTTAATTGTTTGGTATTGAAAGCCATTTGTTTTTACATTTTCTTAGTCAAACATTTCGACGTAAGCTGTGACCTCAGCTCCACATCATTGTCCAATTTACTTGGGGATGTTAACTTGAGAAGTGTAAGAAAAATTATTGTAATAAATTATAATTTTTGCACCGAAAGTTGTAAACTTTTGTAATAAAAATTATTATTTTTATGGTAAGACTTATAAATAGTTACTATGTCTACATATAAAGTTATCAATAACAAATTAAGTTGAGTTTATTTCAAGTTTAAATTTGAATATGAGAAAATTTGAAGGGTCGGTTAAGTTTATTATGAGTTTTGTTTGATAATTTAAATTGTTCATTTTGTAAGATTTTTAGTGTATTTCATCCATAAAAGAAATTAGGTTGATTTGATAATCGTAATATTTTCGTTTTATCACATTTGTCTTCAAAAAAATTAACGATAAGTATGGTTTTTTTAAAATATTTTTTAGGACTTGGGAAGGTTATTTTAGCCTATGGGGCCGGGCTGACCCAGCATTTTCAGCTTGATATATTAATAGGCTGAGCTTGAGATTTATATTTTCAATCTAGCCCAGCCTGGCCCGCTATTAAATTAATTACTTGTATATTAAAATATATATTCTTTGTTAGGATTTAGATTTTATCTTTGTTGATTTAATTGAAATTCACATTTGTAGTGATGAGTGATTGAATTTATTTTTTTAAAAAAATTAATTTATAATGATATCAGTATATTTATTTAATAAATATAATGTGTGATTAAATTTAACTATGAAATGTTTTAATTTTTTGTAAACATATAGCCCGATTGGTGGGCAGGAGATTTATAATAATTTTTTGGGTAAAGCTTGGGAAAATATAGAGGCCCGATGTTGAGGCCGAGTTTAGGTGAAAACAAAATCTCTTACTATGTAGTGTCGGTCCGACCTGAACCAGGCCCAGCCTGGCCCGACGAATCCCACTCCTACATACAGATAAGCACTATTGTATATATAAAAAAAAGGATAAATTACACTTTGCACCCCTGCACTTTGTACTAAATTTCACTTTGGTTCCTATACATGAAATCATGATAGTTAACCCTCTACACTTTTAGTCAGATCCCACTTTGGTCCCTACATATAAAATCGTGACAGTCAACACCCTACACTTTTATTTAAATATCACTTTAGTCCCTATACAAGTGTCAATGTCCCTCTTTTATAACTTCATTTTTACATATTTAATAAAATTCAGTAATGTGACAAACATGTGACTATAAAATGAGGGCAAGGGAGGAAAATCATCCATGTTTCCCATCAATACACTTTGTCCTACGTGATAAGCACATGAGAGTTATATAGTACAATATAAGATAAATTACAATTTATGGCTTGTAGGAGTTTGAATTTTATCTTTGTATACAATGAATAAATGCTTGACATTAAATTTTTGTTAGTTAGACTCCGCAAAATTTAGTTTATCAAGGTAAGGGAAATTAGTATGCATTTGTATAGAATCATTTATGTTTGATATAATTTCAAATACATTTTTCAGGGATCAGAACCAAAAAACCAATGAGATGGAAAATGCTGAATTTGACAGTCACTTTCAACCATGCTGGTTAAGAAGAAGCTGAAGCAACTTCCATCTGCAGTATAAAATGATCAGAAACCCGCATTTTTTTGACAATGCAAGTAATTTGTAGTATGAGTAGCTGCAGTATTTATATGTTCGCCAATGGGTTGAGTTTTGTAATTGATTTTCAGGGTGATCTGTAGGATTGTATTGTGACATGAGTTTTCTCTTTGCAACATTGCTGTTCTGATCAATTCAAGTGGTGTTCGCTTCATTGTGATTGAAAAGCAATAAGGTCTTCCTCACGCGATGTAAATATTGTACATGAAAGATGAATTATTTAAATGGCTATGCTCTTTCATAGGGAGAAGTGTGAAATAGTGTTAATTCCTTTTCTTGCTGCTTGTCAATTGCGATTTAGGCATCTTTGAAGACTAAAACTTGGATTGGATTGTATGTCCATAATCTACCACATTCGGTTTTCTACGACAATAAGCGGATGAATTTCATTTTGCAATTAGCTCATCTAATTTAATGAGTATTTGGCAGTGGTTCTTATGATAGAGTGGCTTGAAATGCTTGGGTACTTGGAGTCGCCATGATTTATGTATTTCCCCGTGTGTGTATCCTATTTTGAGATGTGATGAAAACGAGAGGGGTTAACAGGTGAAACTTGAAAACATTTAAGATAAAAGCAGCCTGCAGGAAACTAGATGGATGGAGGGTTTGAGACCCAACTGGGTTGAAAGATCAGTTTTTTAGCAGATGTCGCGACCCAAAAGGAAATTGCTGGCAACCAAAAAAGGAGACACACACACGGGAAGCTCATGAATGGGAAAACTCATGGACTCAATTTAAATCATATACCCGTGATCTCTCTCTCTCTCTGTGTGAAAATTATTTGGGAAAGTCATGTACTTGTGAAATATGCTCCTAAATAAGTTGAGATCATGTGTATAGTGTGCAGTGTATGTAAAAATATTACATTAATGAGTGAAATATGCTCGTGGAATCCAAGTCATGTGGCTGCTGGTAATGTGGCCAATGTATACGTCATCGGAGATGTGTTATCTCACTCCGTTCACGCTTAACTCCTTCCAATGAAAGTGAAAGATTACTATAATTTCACTTTCATACTTACACTTTTAACTGTGACAGTTAATCTTTCATAATATAAGTCAAGTTATAATTTTATTTTTCTGGCTATTTATCGGCAATGAGATTAATGAAAATTAAAAGTGTGAGAAATAAAATGAAATTTTAGTAAAAGTGTAAGAATTTAAGTGAAATTTTAATGAAAGTACACAAATGTTAATGAGGCCCAAAAAAAAAAAAAAATGTTAAGTTGAGCTCAGATGACAAATTTCATTACCCTTATTAACAGTTGATTAACGGAATGATAATATTATAACGTGACTTGAAGTGTAAAAGATTAACTATTACAATTGAAAATGAAAAGACTAAAAATAATGCTAAATGTAATTAACCCCTATATAAGGACCAGTGTGTTTCTTCTCGACGAATTAGGTTGTATTGTTCTGTATTGGTAATACTTCTTGTTATTTATTTATTTTTTTCAAAATTGATAAGAAATAATTTGTAAATATTATAAAAATTATACTAGATTAGACATACAAGTTGCAACTATATAGGAAATTTTGAATTGGTAGGAAATAATTTGTAAAAATTATGAAGATCATATTAATTAGACATTTAATTATATACAAAAAAAAATCCAATAACACAATCCCAGCATCCATGCTTCAGTTTGTTTAAGCATTGAAGTCTGAACGAACCAAGTCATCAAGTTTTCTTTTGTAACTCTAAAATAAATAAATAAATAAAATGATAAAATATATTGTCACTACAGGAAATGTGTGATTTAGTGGCGCTTTTTTAACGGCGTTTTTTTAAATGCCACATTTTCTAATATTTAACGACGTTTTATAAACGTCGCAATTTAATTTAATAAAACAGTTCCATTTAACCTGTTTAAAAACGCCTTCGAATGTATCCCACATTTTAATTTAATAAAACAGCACCGTTTAACCCGTTTGGAAACGCCTTCGAATGTGTCCCACTCTCACGCGCTCTCTCTCCCTCTTCAAACCCTCATTCTAATTTGAGAAACCCTTCTTCTCACTTTCACTCACTCAAATCTGAGAAACACCACTTTATGAATCTCGCTCGCTCGCTCTCTCTAAACTGTTAAAGTGATTTCGATATCGAAGTTCCGTGATCCAATCTCAGAGTGATTGCGATTTCGTTGAGCAAAATAGATTTCGTAGAGCAGAATCGATTTCAATATCGATTTGGAAGATACGATTCAACCTTCGTCAGCTCGGTGATTTCGATTTCGAAGTTCTCTCTCTCTCTCGATTTCGAAGCTCCACCACCGCCACCACCACCACCACCACCACCACCGTCTGCATCGTCTACTAAGGTGAGCACTACTGTCTACAATCTCGATTTCGATGTCGAAGTTCTCTCTCTTTCTCTCAAAATCTTCATTCCGCTGATTCTTCTCCTAGGGTTTACAGTCTTGAATCTCCTCCTAGGGTTTGAATGTGAGGTCAGATTGTATGTCATATCATCATTTCTATAGCAATTTTACTTTTTGTTGTGCTTAAATATCTCTATTGTTTAAATGTTGTTTTGATTCCATTTTAGTTCCTTTGTTTGCGATTTGATATGTTAGCAGTGGCTTAATGCATTTCAGAGGCGCAAGTTAATAAAGTTTAAGGCTGATTTGCATCTGTTATTTGTCAAACAAATGGAACCTCCTCTTATCTGGAGATATGGAATTTTCGAACTTTGCTGTGCTGATAATTTTCAAACTTTTTAAACAATAAATAATTTTCAAATCTCGTCTTTTGTATTGATAATTTTTAAACTTTTAGATATTACAGTTGCCTGTCTCTGCTCTTCTTTCCTTTTCTTTCCAGATTCTCTTTTCCTTCCTGTGTCTTTCTATAATTTTTTTTTGACTTTAACAATGAAGCAAAATTTGAAATGGCACGTCTTCTGAAAAAGTTGGACCAATTTGATTTCATCAGGGTATGCCGAAATAAGTATTTAGTATCTGTGACCCATAAAAAATTTTGTTATGTATATCAGAAAGTAGCTCTCGTCTTATTATTCTCTAAATGAATATGAATTTGATTTTTTCAAAATGTGGTAAGAAAACATGTTGTCAAACTGAAGATTTATGCTATTTTCTCACTATGTCTGCCTTGAATTTATTCACTATGTCTGCTCGATTTGTTCCTTTATGTTTGTTTGTTTATTTATTTGTTTGGTTAATGGAAGAGTATCATTATGTACTCCCATTTAGAATCATCGATTTTTTATACCATTTCCAGAAGGTTCTTGAATATTTGGTTCCAAGGCACATCACTTATGATGATTTGGTCCATAATGACTTCTAATCAGCTGTCTAATCACAAGCCTTACCCAATGTGTATTGTGGTTTGTCCCACAATAAACTCTCTTACAAGCTGGTCATGTATCTGTCATCTTGGCACCATATCTCTCAATTTTGTCCGTGGATTATCAAGGGAAATAGGCTTTTATGGTGGCATGTAGCATTTTGAAAGCAACAATATGTATAACATGTCTCTTCGCAAATTGAATGTTTGTTTTACCTTTAGAATTCACTTTGTTGTCTATAATAATTTCTTGGCCTTCTTGCACTTTTGTGCAATTTTTACTGGTGGTATTGCAGCTACGTTCCCAATCCTGTCTTGGTCATAATTGATGTCGAGCCTAAGGAGATGGGAATTCCAACTAAAGCTTACTATGCTGTTGAAGAGGTTAAAGAGGTAAAATAACCATCTAGTTTTTCATTTCAATCATAATTTTTAATCATTCAGTGATTTACGTGGTAATTACTAATGTATGACTGACTTAACTGAGATGCTTTAATGGTTAAAGCTTGTCATTCCCAGCAGAATGTCTCCAAATCTGCTTGGAAGTTTATCTGATAGTTGGATATGTTTGCAGAATGCTACTCAGAAAAGCCAGAAGGTATTTGTGCATGTGCCTTCAGAAATTGCCGCTCATGATGTTCATAAATTGCTGTTCTGTTGTTTGATTCTCCTCTTGAGCTCCGTTCTGTTCCTCACTGTCACCATGAGATTGCCGATCTTCAAGGTATGTTTCGTTTTTCTACTTTCTTTTTGATCTATACAAATTGCATATATATATATATATGTGTGTGTGTGTGTGTATGTATGTATATGATTGTATTTATGAAATTTAATTTGATTGTTGATTGTTTGTTATTTGAGCTTCAAATCTGTGATTTTGTTTTTGGTAATATCATATCTACTTTGTCTCTCTTTAGTCCATTGTTTTTCCTTTTTTTGGAATCCCATTTTGGCATTTCTTACTTTCTAACTCTCCTAATAATGATTTCGGTGTAGTTCCCATGTAAATTGATAAACTTTCATCTTGGTATGTTCTCTGAGTTTCCTTTTTTTTCAAGCTGCTACACATGGGTGGTCCTGTTATTGACTACTTGTGCAGATAGCCAAGAAAAGAAAGGCGTTTTCTTCATTCATATCTTTAACTATTTTCTCCCTCTGGATATTGATAATATAATAAATTTGCTTGGGTTTGTTGCAATTATATGTTAATTGAATATGAATTGTTGAACTTGTTGGGTATGTTTTTTTTTTTCCCCTCGCTATTTCAAAGGGGAAAAAGAAGGGAGGAAAAATAGTATGTTTTAAGTTGTAGATTTATATGCATTAAGATGTTGGGTAATTGTCTAATTAATGATGTTCCTATTGATTGGAGGAAAAATAGTATGTTTTAAGTTGTAGATTTATATGCATTAAGATGTTGGGTATTCTCTACTTTCTTTTTGTTCCTATTGATTGGGTAAACAAGTACAATAAGTTTGAATCCTAAACAGTGAATGAATGTTCACGCTCTTACTTGCAAGTCTTGGCTAAATTAACATTACTATAAAAAAAAATTAAAGAGTTCTTTATAATTCTTAATGTGATGCCAATACAAAAAATGGATTGTGTAGTAGCATTACTACTATTTATTGGGTTCAAAAGAAATCATTTTTGTATTAAATGTATCATAAATAAATCAAAACCATATTGGTTAGAGAGCACCATGGCATAATGAGTTGATTGGAGCCTTGAGGCTTGGAGCATAGGAGTGTCATGACATAATCAATGGGGAGATCAACAAATAGATGTATAATCCAACAGCTATGAGCTCAGTAGCAGCTAAATTAACATGTCACTTCATCAGTTTTTTTTTTTTCTTGCCCAAAGAGCTTCACTCACTTTCTTTTTGCACAGGAGTGTGAAAAAGTCTCAAGTCTCAACCCATACAACAAACCAAGAAACAAAGGTTAGTTTTCCCTTCACTCATTCACTCACTCACTCACTGGTCTTCCATTGTCACCACTGTCGGTATTCTCAATACATTTCACTCTTTTCCATACGCTGCAAATATTACTGTTTTGGACATTATTGCCCATGAAAGGGGTTTATTTGGAGATCTTAATTTTCTTTATGAAGTGATTTTATTTTATTTCTTACTTGGAGATCAATGCAAGGATTTGTCAGATATGCTGAAAAGATCTAATTTTTAGTCATATTCAATTATAGAAAATCAAAGGTGTTTACTTGAAAGAATTCTCTGCTGGAGAAGGTGTGAATGGAGTTAACTTGTTGCTTGTACTTGATAAGATCTTGGTTCGTTTAGTGGATAAAATTCTATTTTAGTTGGTGGGTAGGTGCAGATATTTCATACTTCCAATGGCGGCTCTCCATTTTGACTACTTGCTTCTTCTTCCTCTCCTTTTTTTTTTTATTTTTTTTATTTTTAAAATCACCGCGATGGACATTTTCTTCACCATTTATGATTTGGTTGAAATTTTCTTGGGTGTTCCATTGCTTGATGCAAAGTATCTTTAAGATGTAAATTTCTTATTTGGGGAAATCTACATTGTACTTATTGATGTGCGTGCTCTGTTTGCTCTACTGAGAATTGGGTATTATGTGATTTTCTTTTTTTTTAACACAAATGTTTAGCTCATGAAATTGTAGAATGGGTGAGCCTGCTGAAGCAGGTGAGGTTAAGGTAGTGCTGCAAATTATGATTTGCTATTTTGGCTTGGTAAGTATTGAAAGGAAAAAATAAATATATAATTAATCAATCAAATTTTAGTTAAGTTAGATTACTTTTCATAGTTATTTACCATTTTCAAATTAGTCTGTAATGTAGGTTCCTGTACTTGTACAAAAGTTTATTTGATTGGTTCTCACACTAGACTTGATGTGATTTTCTGCTTTGATTCCAAAACTGCAGGAGAGCCATTTGGCCCTCATTTCTGCTATCTTCTTTAAAACCTTGATCAAACTAAGAGACCCCTTTATTGGGTATGCACGTTATAATAGTTAATCAATTAAATTAGATTCCTAGAGTAGACTTCATTTTTGTATGAATTTTTGTTACCAAATGTTGAGGTAGTTTTTTTATTTTATTTTTATTTATTTAAAATGTCTGCACACCAATGTGTGGCTGGAAGTGATTCAATGGTATCATTATCATTTACTTGTGCATTTTGATATAGGGTATGGTATACAATATAGCAGTCTTGGCAGATTGCTAAGAAAATCCATTGTTTTAAGGCAATTTTATAGATTTAGAACAACAGCAAAGTTAGATATAGTTTGATTTATGTTTATTCGTTCCTTGTATATCATTTTTCCAAGCTGTTCCAAGAAAGCGTTTCCATAATGTTGCTGTAAAGAATGGTCTAGGTCTAACTGTCGCTTGTATGGCAATGAGTTCAGCTACTGGTTGTCCTGCAGATGAGACTAATCTGACTGGTGTGGGTGAGATCAGACTAATACCTGATTTATCAACGAAGTGTATAATTCCTTGGTAGTACATCTCTTTCATAAGTATTACCTTTGTCTCTCCATTGCAACATAATTTTTGTTAAACATTCGCGATCTTTTTTTTATTTTATTTTTTATATTTGCACTCTATATTTCACAGTTCAATATCCCCGTTGTCAAAACTTGAAGAGTGAAAATGCAAAGAGGAAAAAAAACCTCTTATTCCAAACATGGAAGATGTACACTAAGGGCCTACAAGATTGTCCCAAAAATGTGATTTGGGCAATTTTAGAGTTTACCCATTTAAATATCAGATAATTAGACGTGTTTTGACTATCAAAATGAAACAACCCAAAACTTGATAAAGACAAAAGTTTTATTCTAAAATTGTGGAATTCAAAATATTTTATGTTTAATTTCTACACAAACTTGAATGAACTCATTTACGTGTGCATAGGATTTGAATTAGTTAATTCAAAATGGAGCAATTCATGGAATGAGTAAATTCATGCAACCATACAGGCCCTAATAAGATGGTCTGCTTAGTGGTTTATAGTTCATTTGAGATCTTTGACAACAAATCATTATATGACTTTAGGATGGCACATGGCATGGAAAGTAATATTATGTGCCCAGTAATCAGAATAGTTTTTCACATATTTTATTCTGTTGGTCTACTATAACAAATGTGGATCATATACATTCAATAAACATATGCGTATCTCAAGTGTGTTGTCTAGAATCATCTGGTTGGGCAGCAGATATATTTGTGATCATAATTTAATTTATTTTTTTGACCTCAACAGGGCAAAACAAGAAGGAATGGTTTTGGGTGACATGCATCTTAAACCTGGTGAAGCTTGGGAATATTGCCCAAGAGAGGCATTGCGTAGAGTTTCAAAAATTTTGAAAGATGAATTTAACTTGGTAAGCATGATGGTTTATTCATATGAAATATGTTGTCATTCAATTTCTAATTGTGTATATATACAGGTGATGTATGCAGGTTTTGAAAGTGAGTTTTATCTCTTGAAGAGTGCGTTAAGGTATTTGATGCAATTGTTACCAGGCCTTCTTTTAATTTTGTTTTCCAGTCGATATTGCAAGTATTAACTATAAAAATCAGCAGGGAGGGGAAAGAAGAATGGTTTTCATTTGATACGACGCCCTACTGTTCTGCATCTGCATTTGATGCTGCTTCCCCTGTACTTCATGAAGTTGTAGCTGCTCTACAGTCGTTGAATATTGCAGTTGAACAGGTAGTTAAACCTGGTGAAGCTTGGGAATATTGCCCAAGAGAGGCATTGCGTAGAGTTTCAAAAATTTTGAAAGATGAATTTAACTTGGTAAGCATGATGGTTTATTCATATGAAATATGTTGTCATTCAATTTCTAATTGTGTATATATACAGGTGATGTATGCAGGTTTTGAAAGTGAGTTTTATCTCTTGAAGAGTGCGTTAAGGTATTTGATGCAATTGTTACCAGGCCTTCTTTTAATTTTGTTTTCCAGTCGATATTGCAAGTATTAACTATAAAAATCTGCAGGGAGGGGAAAGAAGAATGGTTTTCATTTGATACGACGCCCTACTGTTCTGCATCTGCATTTGATGCTGCTTCCCCTGTACTTCATGAAGTTGTAGCTGCTCTACAGTCCTTGAATATTGCAGTTGAACAGGTAGAAGGAGATAAGTACTGTCGTAGCTTTTTTGTACTGGAATTATGGGAGGTTGTTCTACGTAGGTCAAATTTTGAGGTCATAATCACACAATCCATATTATCACTTAATTCTTTTTGCAACTTCTCTCCATGGATTGGAAAATGACTTCTTATACATTCTTGACATTGCTCAGCATGTTAATTCCAATTCTAGTGCCTCAACCATGTGAGTATATATATGCATGTATTTATTTTGTTTTTTTTAAGAAAAGAAATTTAAACCACAAAGACTTCATAATGCTCTTATTTCTAGGATTTGCTATCTCTCTATTTTCGTGACCTACCTTTGAGGTGACCCAAGTTATTATGAATTGTACATGTGTAGAAAACAATGGTCATTTGCTATTTAATTTTAAAGGCAGTTGTCTGAACACACAGGACATAAGGGTACTCCCTCTAAATTTATTGTTGTTGTATGCTTTTAGATCCATCATATTGGATAACTTGATATACACTTTTGGGCCCATTTCCTAATAGCTTAAGCTTTTGGGATTAGTGGTGATCTAACATGGTATTGGAGCTTAGGTTGGGGAAGGTCTTGGGTTCAAGACAGTCCATTTGTATTTGTTCCCTGTTTGCATTGTGCTTTCTATTTTTGTATGTCAGCTTAAGGTTTTGGAATTATTGATTGATTAGTTGCACAATGGTGCATGCATTTTATACATTTTAATTCTTTCAAAATTGTATATAACGGACATGATATTCACAGAAATATTATGCAAGATTAACAAATTGATCATGAAATTCAGTGTTTAGTCAAAGAGATGAGTTCATCTACATCAACAATCCTAAAAGTGTACTTCTATCTCTAGTATCTGATGTTTAGACATGTTGTTTTTATTTCCGTGCAGTACAAGTTTTTTGTTGATGGAGAATGGCGGCATGATGAGCACCAACCATTTGTAAGTGGAAATTATGGGGTGGTGAACATTGTCTTCTTAGCTAGGGAGCCTGATGTGATTCCTGCAATTTATACTCCAGAGACACCTGGTAGATCTAGTATGGATGTGGATAATGATCCATTTTTTCATTTGGTAAGAATCCAATTTTATACTTACAGCTATCTATATACATAACAGCAACATGTTGAAGTATCGTACAGCTATTTCTCATCCATTCAGTTACATGTGTTGCATAGACGTGCAAGACCATGTTTGCTGAGACAATCTGGCCTCTGCAACTTCATTTATTGCATCTCAAGTTATGCTGAAATGCTATGTTACATAGACTCTTCTAAATTTATGAAGTAACTGTGTCTAACATTCGCACTCGGGTAAGGGTATGAGATATGTGTCTAACACTACACATAAAAACCCCATATTATGCATGAAATGTATGTTCTATGGCACCTTACGAACCCCATTTTACCCTAGAAAATAAAAGAAGTATATTAAAAAATGAATATTTTGCTGTCTCTCTGCCTCCTTGAACATGGGATTAGATAAAATAGACATTTAGACACATACTCGCACCCATGTCCATGTAACATAGCTGAAATGATGAAACATTTTCTATTTTTATATAGCTGCTCAAGTTTTGTGGAACTTGGTAGTCTTCCAATCTTCATGGAAATTTTTTATTTTTATTTTTTTTCTTTCCCCTTAATGCTTTAGTTTAGAAACATGTGATATCAATATGTGCGCGTTAATCACTAGTAATCACTAGTGGTTTCTCCAAGAGCAGTAACAGTGCACTGGCAGGGCATTTAAACACATTGTTGTTCTATAATGCCGTAAAATTGTAGGTAATATAGTCAAATGGTAACTTGCAGGAAGCAGTTCCAAGGATATCAGAGGCTGATATAGATATTTCTCGCCAACGTATATCTGTGTTCTTGTCAACACATACTGCATACGAGTTGCTTCCTGAATCTGGCAAGGTTAGGATACTTGCTTGGTTGCTTATGATTCCATCTTTTAAGTGTTTTTATCACCATGGTTAGATTGGATTTATAGCTTTTTGGCTGAATTGTATTGAAAATTGTAGGTCATTGCCTTGGACGTGAATTTACCAGTGAAGCAAGCATTCCATATTCTGTATGAGCAGGTAATTTTATGCACTTGCTCACAGTTTCAGGTTCCAGTAGAATCTCATCCTTCTTTGTGTAATGACTTCGCTTTTGTCAGCTAAGATTTATCAGAAGTGTTCCAAGAGAAATGTAAGTCCTATGTGTGACTGTTTAAGAAAGTCTAGGAACACAGAAACTGATCATAGAATTGGAAACAACCCTCTTATATGGCATATGAGGTGGGTCTCACCTTTTTGTGGGGTCCTACACCCATGTGAGAGGGTTGTGTCTGGTTCTGTGAAAGTAGAACAACTGTTGATAGAAAATAGATATATTTGTGTAGAATTTTCATATGTTGATGACTGGATCACTTCTAGTTTCATTATTTCATGACATGTAGTTTACTTGGCTTAACATACAGTCCATTCATCTTCAGAGAGATGATAAGCACCAAAACCTTGAACTCGTGTCTTCCCTTCAGATGCCATGCCAGCAATATAGCAGTTTCAACACCCTTCGTTAACAGTTTGTGGGATTTAATTTGTTCATGTGCACTTTATCTCGTTTTCTTAATTGCAAATTGCTGGTATTTATGATTAATAGCCTGGATTTCGGCTTATCTAATTAAATTATTTTCAGGGAATTCCTGTGGCTCCTCTCTGGGATTTTTGCAAGGGTCAGTTTGTTGGAGTTCTTAGTGCATTGGATTTCATCTTAATTTTAAGAGAGGTATTTTTGTGATAAATTTCTTGTCTCATTGGCTTTCCTTTTTATGGCAACTCTGGTAGTGTCATCAGTAGAACTCTGTTGTTTCGATCTTCTTTTCTTGGTTGAGATTTGATTTATTGCTCTTAAATGATCACTATTCCTAAAAAGCTACTTTTTCCTTCGTTATCGACAAGCTCTGAGAAATTCTTATATTCAGTGGTTTTGCACTTATCGCATGTGTATGGAAAGGCCAATGATTTGAGCTTTCTATGTGTAGGGTTTTAGGAATAGAAAAATTCTATGCCAAAAAAGAAGAAAAAAAAAAATCATGTCTGTTGTTCTTTTCAAATGCAGGTTGTGACATGAATAAGTTTTTTTGGGTTATTCTTCGATTAGTTGGTTAGCTCCTATTTCTGAGGAAGTCTAGCTCATATACCTGATTGATGTAAGTTTTGCTAGGTTTTTCCTGTCTCTTTGTGGGATTATTGTGGATAGGGATGCTATGTTACCTTCATTCTGTGAGAAGTTTGGTGTCGTGGAATGTGTCTTTTAGGCAAGCTTTATAGGATTGGAAGGTTGAGGAGTTGGATGCCTTCCTAAAGCTTTTGTATAGGTGTGTTTGTTGGTTAGATAGCTTGATATACATTATTGGGCTCATTTCTAACCGCTTAAGCTTTTGGGACTAGTGGTGATTTAAAAAATATTTTTCAGAAAGTTTTTAGAAGTGAAAAAAATTTGGTTTTTGAATTTTCAAGTCATAGTCATTTTGGAGTTAGGAGTTCTTCCAATTCTTGATAAAGCCATGTGTAAGAAATAATGTATAGAGAAAGAGAGAGAATAAATTGTATGTATTATTATTGATTGATATATTAATGTTATGGTTACAATGATTCCTATATATAGGAGAGGGTGAGTGTGTAGTAGGTGAGGAGTAGGTGAAGTGGAGGTGGTAGTGGTGTAGTGGGTTAGGTTTAGTGGAGTAGGTTTAACAGCCCCCCTCAAACTCAAGGAGGTTAGACACAAACCAACTTGAGTTTGGAGAGAGTAACAAAACAAGAAAAATACATAAAAATAAAAAAGGATAGGAGACACTGTATGGTCGTGTCAGACCGTTGGTGAAGACACTGTATGGGGTGTCATAACGTTGTAGAGGACACTGTATGGTGGTGTCAGACCGATGTAGAAGACAGTTTATGGGGTCATGTCGGACCGTGGTAGAAGACAGTTTATGGGGTCATGGCGGACCGTTGTAGCAGACAATGTTGTGACAGTTGTTGTGACAGTTTACGGAGTCGTGCTGGACCCTTGTAGAAACTAACCGGAATCAATGTCGGGACAGTTTACAAAGTCTTGTCGGACCCATGAAGGAGCTAACCGGAATCAATGTCGGGACAGTTTACAAAGTCTTGTCGGACCCATGAAGGAGCTAACCGGAAGCAATGTCGGGACAGTTTACAGAGTCTTGTCGAACCCATAAAGGAGCTAACCGGAATCAATGTCGGGACAGTTTACAAAGTCTTGTCGGACCCATGAAGGAGCTAACCGGAAGCAATGTCGGGACAGTTTACAGAGTCTTGAATACAAAAACAAAAGAAACAGAAAGAATTGAACGGGTTAGAAGCAAAACAATTTAAACAATTTATCAAAATAACTTATAATTGTTTACTAGAAGTAACTGCAAAGAGTTGCTTCAAAATACATAACTTTAAAATCGAAAATACAAGCTGACTATCAAAGAAAGGTGTTGGTTCTCACTCAAAATCCTAACAAACTCAAACTCTGAATTACAATTGACTAGAATGACTAATTTATAAGCAAATGTGGTGACTGTGAGCCTCGTGAGCTGAGAGCTGAAAGAGCATGATGAAGCAAATGGGTGCTATCTGCTGCTTTCGGCTGATTGACTAAAACTGATAGTTGTTGTTGACTGTTGTTGATTGATGAATAGTGAATAGTAAATTTGACTTTTATTATTCATTGCTTTCGGTGGCATGTAACTGATGGAAATCAATATATAGACAAAATAACAGCTTTTCTCAAAAAAAGAGTAGTGAGTGAAGCTATAATGCATATATATCGAATCCAATGTTGACTGGTTGAGCAATTGTTGACTAGTAGCTATGTATATGGGTCCTGAGCATCTTGGAAATGGGCTGCATATGGATCATAGCTGGTTGACTGTGCAGTTGAATTGGATGAGCTGAATGAACTGGACTTTTGGGCCGGTGCAGCAGGCTTATCATCAGAAAGTTCATCTTTTAATTGGGCCTAGGCCTGATCCATCAGGAGACGGGCCATCTGGAGCAGTTGATCACTAGATGATCCAAGTTTAACCTTGGGCTTTAAATGAGTTGACTTAAATTTATCAGACTTGGGCTTTGAGGTAGTTGGTTGAACAACTTTGGATGACTTGGGCTTGGAAGTACCAGATGGTGGATCAATAGGACTTTCAAGATTGACTGGAGGAAGTAGGTTTCCTTGAGTGACTGAAGTAGTTGGGTTCTGCTGAACTTTGACCATTGCAGGTGTTGGAGCATGAACATTGACTGGGAACTCAAGTTGAACTTGTTCAATAATGCGGGGAACTTTGAAATTATCTCACCATTTAACAAAATGTTGCCAAGTGACTAGATTAGTATTTTCAATTCCACATTGCCATTTGAATATCCAAGAAACTTTGTATTTGGACATAAAAATGAGCAACCATGGAAATTGCTGTTGGTGTTGACTACGTTTGTAAACAGTTGAAAAATAGTTGACTTGTTCCATAAGATTGGGTGGAATAATCTCAGGTATTGCACCATGAAGAGACCACCATCTGAGGAACCATGTAGGAATGACTGATTTGAATTGGTGATCAAACTGGAAGAACC